TGTAGCATGTAGCCCACCATACGTTTGATGCACATTGTGTAAATATTGTTTTGTGTGTTACTTGTAAATATTATGCAACCCTATCAATAAGTGTATATTGCAGACTAAACAATTTTTTTTGTTCAAGAATCCTTAGATCTAGGTGTGGTTATGTAAATACTTTTAGAATGACTGGAGTATATTCACGTATACACTTAGGCTAGTTCAGGGGCGGACTGACCATTGGGAAACTCAGGCACTGCCCGAGGGCCCAGGGTCAGTAGGGGTCCCATGAGATGCTCCTGGTACCTTTTTCATAGGCTTTTTTGAGTTTGGGCAAGGACACAGGGGCCCCATGATCCCCATGAGTTGTCAGTCCGCCCCTGGGCTAGTTAACTTGTTGAATGTGCTATTGCTAGTCTTGTTCAGAAATATTTTAATTGATTGCAATAGTTACAAAGGCACACTAATGAAGGATTTTCTTTTGAATGCTAACAATGAGCATTGAGTGCTCTATATGCTTGATATACAGTAGAAATGGCCTATAACAAATAGCTCTGTTGTGTCATTTGCAGTCATTTTTTTTCTTACCCATAATATACTAATGAACACATAACTTTAGTTGTATATTTTAAAGACTAAATATAATATAGAATGTGCTCATAAGGAGTTCAGATTCATGAATATGAGAATGAAGGGCTCTGGTCAAATATGTCTCTGCATGATACAGTTTATTCAAAATAAATCAATAAAGCAGTGTATCTGGTTGGATGCACTTAGACCAAGTGGGATTTATTCCGGGTAGAGAAGGACTGGATGATGGACTAAGAACAGTGTTTATCCTGCAAAAGAGTGGAAAAGAAGAGGTACCGGAGATCATTTTATCGGTTGATGCTGAAAAGGCCTTCGATAGAGTAGATTGGAGATTTATGATAGATAAGTTGAAGACACTAGGAATTGGGCGCAGAATGATGCGGTGGATAGAAGAGCTATATGGCAATCCATCAGCCGCAGTGAAGGTAAATGGATCATTGTCAGGATTTTTTAGGATGTATAATTAACTAGACAGGGATGTCCCTTATCCCACTGCTGTTCGTGATTTCCTTGGAACCGCTATTAGCAACCATAAGAAATAGTGTAGACGTTAAAGGAATGTGGATAGAGGACATCAAACATAAAGTGGCAGCATATGTAGATAATATGCTGTTCTATATTACGAACCCTAGATTAACATTATCAAACTTGATGAGAAGATTTAAAGAATTTGGAGAGTTACCAAACCTGAAAATGAATCCCTCAAAAAGTGAGACTTTAACCACTTGCCAACCATGCTATAGCCAAATGACGGCTACAGCGCAGGTGTCCAGTTCTGGGAGGGCGTAATATGATGTCCTCCCAGAATGCGCCCTCCCCCGTGCCCTTGTGGGCACTCACCCAGCGATCTCAATGATCGCTGTGTCTTATGGACACAGCTGATCACATGATGTGGTAAAGACCAATTACAGTGGCCTTTTACCATGTGATCAGCTGTGTCCAATGCCAGGAATCAACTGCACTTTCTTCACGCTGTCACAGCGTGAGGAAAGTACTGCCGGTAACCGGCAATTGTCAGAGGACGGATCAACACCGATCATCAGTGCCCACCAGTGCCACCCGCCTGTGCCAATCAGTGCCCAGCAGTGCCACCCACCGTTGCCCATGAGTGCCTAGTAATGCCACCTACCAGTGCCCAGCAGTGCCACCCATCAGCGCCGCCAGTCAGTGTCTAGCAGTGCCAGCAGTCAGTGCCAGCCATCAGTGCCTATCAGTGCTGCCCATCAGTGCCGGCTATCAGTGCCCATCATTGTTGCCTGTCAGTGAAGCATCATCAGTGCAGCATCATTGGTGCCAGCTCATCAGTGCTGCCTATCAGTGCTGCCTATCAGTGTCCATTAGTGCTGCGTATCCGTGCCACTTCATCAGTGCTGCCTATCAGTGCCCATCAGTGCTGCCTATCAGTGCAGCCTCATCAATGCACCTCATTGAAGGAGAAACATTACCTGTTTGCAAAATTTTACAATAGAAACAAAGAAAAACTTTCACTTTTTTTTGCTATTTTTTTGGTTATAGTGCAAAAAATAAAACACCCAGCAGTGATTAAATACCACCAAAAGAAATCACTATTTGTGTGAAATTTTTTTATAGAAATGTTGCATGACCGCGCAATTGTCATTCAAAGTGCAACAGCGCTGAAAGCTGAAGCTTGGCCTGGTTAGGAAGGGGGTATAAGTGCCAGGTAGGCATGTGATTTAAATATAATCGTCCCAAAGACTGCAAAACACATCTTAAAAAATGAATTTCCATTTACATGGAGGGGAAAATAACTAAAATATTTTGGAATAAAATTAACAACGCTTATAAAAAAAATCAAGATCAGGTAAATTATATTCCACTAATAAATGAGATGAAGGATGAACTGAGGAAAACTCCCATGGAAACGTTATCCTAAATAGGTCGGATAAATATCATTAAGATGATCATAGTACCAAAGGTTTTTATACAAGTTGAATATGCTTCCAATATATCTACCAGGATCTTTTTTTTTAAGAACTCTTAAAAAATTATACTGAGATATGTGTGAGCTAATAAAAAACCAAGAGTTAAATATGAAGTTTTATGCAGTAATAAATAAAAGGGGGATTAAACATGCCAGATTTTAAGAGATATTATAATTCATTTGTTATTATCACGAATTGCAGATTGGATACACAATGTACGGGTGAGAAGTTGGGTAAAAATGGAGAATTCACTTAGTAAGGCCATTAGATAAGATTATTTGGATACCACATGAGTTCCGCAATTTGGATGAAGATACAAGCACGTTGACACGCAATGTATCAAGCATTTGGGATAAAATGCACAAGCAGAAGGATTGTAAATTCAATTCATTGTCAATCCCGTTGGTGGGAACTAAGTTTTTCCCACCGGAAATGATAATATCTCAGGGGAATGGATAAATGATAGAAATGCATGTTTAAAAGATATTGTGGATAAAGTGGTTTTATGTTCTTTACACGATTTAAAAAATAAGAAGGAAATATTTTTTACACTGGATGAATTGCAGTATTATCAAATTATGTTGCAAAGCTCCCACAGCCACTAAGGCCTGAGGAAGAAATGTATCCTTTGGAGCATCTGTTTAGCTCAAATGGAATACAAGGGCATGCTACCTCTAGGATTTATAGAATTGAATTAGATAGACCAGTGTCCCAAAGGTTTTAGAAGAAGTGGGAAATGGAGTTTGGAACAAAATTGAATGAGCAATAAAAAAAAATGTTTAGACTAACACAAGGGGCAGTGAATATGAATATAGTTGAGATGAATTATAAATGTCTAGTAAGATGGTATATTACTTCTAATGTGATGTATAAACTAAGGCCAGAGGCCTCACCCAAGTGTTGGAGATGTGGAAGTAAGGGCACAATGGCACATATCTGGTGGGATTGTCCTAAAATACAGGAGTTTTGGAAGGAGATAATGTAATATATACAAGAGATAATGAAGATTAGTGTACTGTTAGACTGGTGGGTATGTCTATTTCACAAATCAGAGCTTTCGGTGAAGTAATAAAGATGAGGTATTGTTCCATCTTTTAAATGCGTCCAAAAGCCTTATTCCTAAATACTGGCAAACAATAGACCTCCCAAACATAAAAGATTGGATAGATAGAGTTGAGTATATTTACAAGATGGAAGAATTTTACCATATAGATGAGGATAAAATGGAAAATTTTAAAAAAGCCTGGGAAGGATGGTATCATTAAAAAAAAAATCAAAAATATATCTACAAGTGGTTGGAGTGTAATGGAAAAAGAAAATAAATAAGAGCATGGGAAAGAGAGAAAGAAAAGTACAAGAAAGGGGAAAAGCAGGCTAGAACAACAATAGAAGAGCAAAAGTAAATGGAAGGATTAAGAAGAAGGGAGGTGTTTTCGGGGGGGGGGGGGGGGGGGGGGGGCGGGTAAACAGGGTGATGGGAAAGATAATGATTGATGGTTTTTTGTACAGTGCATCCAGAAAGTATTTACAGCGCTTAACTTTTGCCACATTTTTTACACATTTTTATTTTTTAATAAATTGCAAAGAAAAAATATTTCAAAATGAACTTCTTTCACATTGTCATTATGGGGTATTGTTTGTAGAATGTTGAGGAAACAAATGAATTTAATCCATTTTGAAATAAGGCTGTAACATGATAAAATCTGGCAGAAGTTAAGAACTGTGAATACTTTCTGGATGCATTGTATTTTAAGATTCATAATTTCAACAAATCTGCAAAATATATTGGAGTTGATTTACTAAAGGCAAATAGACACTTCCAGTTGCACTCATTTTCCCCATAGCTCTGTGAATGCTGTGAAGCTTCACTGTGTACAGAATACTCAATCAAGTGCAAGGAGAATTAAAAAAACAAAATGCAGGATTACATGTTTACTAAGTTCTGGGGGAAATAAGTGTAGTAAAATCAACAGTAAATAGTATTTATATAAGTAGGATGAAAAAAAGCAGCTAATTGTTCAAAATAACATACCGTATTTTTCGCTCCATAAGACGCACTTTTTCCCCCCCAAAAAAGGGGGGAAAATGTAATTGAGTCTTATCGAGCGAATATAAAGCGGCTGGTCCGGTATTTCTGCCGCCACCATGTCAGAATATTGGGCCGGTCGCTCAGCTCTTCTCTCCTGCAGGACCTTACCTGTTCCTCGCTCCAGCGCTGTACAGTCTTCCTGCGCCGGCTTCTGTGACAGCCGGGTGCCCACTGCGAATGTGCGAGAAGCGCTGCGCTTTGTGAATGGTCCGGTGTCTTCTGGGACACATGACAGGTCCCAGAAGGTGCTGGGCCATTCACAAAGTGCAGCGCTTCTTGCGCATGCGCAGTGGGCACCCGGCTGTCACAGAAGCCGGCGATGGAAGAAGAGGGAAGGACAACTCTGCGGAAGTGGGAATGGGTACCTGTCAAATTCAGGTACCCGCTCTCCCTCCCTCCCCAAAGGTCCGCAGTCTCTGGTCATCCCCTACACTGCCTGCAGTCTCTGGTCATCTGTACTGTGTCCCCTAGTATTTTCCCTGTACTATGTCCACAGTCTCTGGTCATTCCCTGTACTGTGTCCGCAGTCTCTGGTCATCTCCTGTACTCTGTCCGCAGTCCTGGTCATCTCCTGTCTGTCCGCAGTCATCTCCCCTGTACTGTGTCCGCAGTCTCTGGTCATCTCCTGTACTGTCTCCTGTACTGTGTCCGCAGTCTCTGGTCATGGTCCCCTGTAGTATGTCCTCAGTCTCTGGTCATCTCCTGTACTGTGTCTGCAGTCTCTGGTCATCTCCTGTACTGTGTCCGCAGTCTCTGGTTATCTCCTGTACTGTGTACGCAGTCTCTGGTCATCTCTTGTACTATGTCCGCAGTCTCTGGTCATCTCCTGTACTATGTCCGCAGTCTCTGGTCATCCCTGTACTGTGTCTGCAGTCTCTGGTCATCTCCTGTACTGTGTCTGCAGTCTCTGGTCATCTCCTGTACTGTGTCTGCAGTCTCTGGTCATCTCCTGTACTATGTCCGCAGTCTCTGGTCATCTCCTGTACTGTGTCCGCAGTCTCTGGTCATCTCCTGTACTGTGTCCGCAGTCTCTGGTCATCTCCTGTACTGTGTCCGCAGTCTCTGGTCATCTCCTGTACTGTGTCCGCAGTCTCTGGTCATCTCCTGTACTATGTCTACAGTCCATTGGTTCAGAATATTTTTTTTCTTGTTTTCTGCCTCTAAAACCCAGGTGCGTCTTATGGTCAGGTGCGTCCTATGGAGCGCAAAATACTGTACATAAATAGAAATTAAAGTGAGTTCTCACGCTATGATAATTAGTTCAGTTCTCCTATGGAATGAGAGGAAATATAATTTTCTTACACAGTATGGAGACACCACAACCAAATGGAAGTCTAAACTCTACCTATACTTCACTATGGAAAATAAAGAAAAGAGATTTTTTTTATCTAACGTCATTATGCTTTTCAATTAAAGATCTGCAACAAGAAACTGCAAACTTTCTTCATTTAAAGGTAAGTTCTGTCATTTTTCCACCTGGGTACGATGACAAAACTGGACAGCAACAAAATTGTGGCTAATAAGTGTTGATACACTGCGGGCTAATCTGGACAGAACAATGATGATTAAAGCCTGTTTGTTAAGGTACCTGTTGCACATTCACAAAACAGAAGAAATAGAAAGAAGCTCCAATACCAATTTACAATGCTGTAATCTGCAATCCATGCAATGTTTGGGACTGGGGTGCCATTGTTTTACTTTCCATTTCCCATGTGATGAGTGTTTCTACCAAGATGTGTACCCAAGGAAACAGAGAAAGTTTATGTCTGTATCTTCCATGTGACTACAGCATTTCCCTTTGTGCTTGGGACAAGTGAAACCTGATATATTTGACCTGGCGCTTAATCTGAGCCTGAGATGAAAAACTGCTTGCCCAATTATTGGCTGAGCATCAACAAAGTGGCTTTTCTCTTACAGACATTACTATCTGAAGGTACTTGGACTGTGGGCCTATAAACAGAGTGATATTGGACTGAAAACTTCAAATTTATATCTTATCAGCCTGATGGACTATAGAGGGAGTAACTATGTGGTTTGTTGAAAAGCATGTAATCTCTGTGCTTGGTGTAAAGAAAATGTAAATATTAAATAATAATTTGTGAGTAGAAAAACAAATCAACAAACCAGGCAGCAGCACACACAATATCCACAAGCAGATATTAAACAATGATGAACATACAAACGTGTTGCACTAGCCCTTTAAATGTGTAATCACATGTTTTTATTCATGAGTAAAGACTACCTCACTACACATGTGCAAAGCAATACAATTGTGCAAAAACAGTGCAAAAGAGACACATGCAAATTAGATAAATACAAATAATAATGCTTATAAAAATATCCATCATCAAACAAACTGATAGGAATGGTTACATTCCTGTCAGGAGCTGCCATAACCCCATTTGACTGAGAGGGATCCCTATGGAGAAGTTTCTTCATTTACAACGCAATTGCACATCCCTTGAGGAGTTCCATCTTATTTAAGAAAGTACCCTTACGTACGGACAAAATAGCACAGAATTTAGTGGAAAAAACAAAACGCCCATAATTATCAAAGGCTTACAGGGTCTTTTTTCTATGTGGGGGATTTGGGGTGTGCATTCATAATTTAATTACATGTTCCACACAATGTATTTTTTTTTAAAATTGCACTGCTCATGCAGCCTGCAGTAGATTGATAGGACTACACAAGCACTGCCAACAGCCTAGTATTGCAAATAAAGAATGTTGTGCCACCCAAATCCCTACTAGACCCTTATGCAAGCATGTGGCCTGGCTAGCCATAAAAGAGGGGCAAGAGTGAACCCTCCTCCTGAAACCACACCATGCCACATGTCTTCAAACTGGTGATACCATGCCAGAGGTGCCTCCGGGCAAACCACCTTGTGCCCGTGTTGATGAGGATAAAGGACTTTTCTCCACATCCCTGGCTAATGGAAGTGGGAATCTGTGTGTGGGAGGATTTGAAAATCTGGAAGCCCCTGGCTATCTACCCCCCCCCCCATGCCAATTTGTAAAGAATAATGAGTACATAGTACCCCTAGTTACTCATTCACAAAAAAGTTTGAACGCAGATAAACACACCACACATTACAAAAAGTCTTTTAGTTTAAAAAAAAGAAAAAGCACAATGTAAACCAATTGGTAATCATGTTGTTCAGTGATGCAGGTTCTCATAGTTTATGATGATAATCATTAATACAGAACAATGATCTGATCTTGACGTACTCCACAACACAGCAAATCCCTCACAGCTGAATGCAAACAAAGTGGTGGGAGCTGTCTGATATCATTGGCTAAATATGGTCATGACCAAATTTAGTCATTTACATCTCCCAGGATGCTCACTAACTTGATTACAAGCCAGCAGACAGCAAAATAGTGCTTGCTAAGTTGTCTTTACCTCATCAATGATTTTCACAAGTGGGGTTTTGGTTCACATTGTCTTGAGTGGGTGTTCTTTCTGCACTCCTTTCACACAACTCCTGTCAGGCATTAATTTCCTTCCTTGCCTATCTTAAGAGGAACAAGGCAGGATTATCCCATTTTAATTTTGTAATCTCAAAAGAATCCTTTGCCCAATTGATACACACCAAATGTAATAGTTATTGTCTTGAACTAGCAGGCATCACCCATATCTAAACCCCTACACCTCATAGATACTATCCATTGCTGTACTCATTCATTAGGCCTCACTGTCAATGACACAAAGTCTAAGGCCCTCAACATCTTCTTTCCATTCTCCGTGTTGTCCCTTCTCCAACAATCCTTTTCATTTCAATGGATCCCACATACTGGGGTGATAATCTAACAAATTCCTATAATTAACTTTACGCCTCCAATTGATCTACCTTTTTATTGAAGCTGAATGTTCTTATGGCTGCATGGACCAAATACAATATTTCCATCAAAAAGACACTTTTACCCAAAATGCTATACTTTTTAGGTTTTTTCGATATGAGTTGCACCCTGTATTCTTAGATGCCTCTAAGCCCACGTCAAGTGATTTGTATGACAAAACCTTGTACCTTGTACCCTAAATGCCCAGAATCCTTCACCTATTGGTATCTTCTTGACTTCACCTGCTTTTATAATTTCTAGGCAATGGATGGCCTTAAAATATTTCAAATCCCTGGAAAGTAGTATGACATCACTTCTAGGGTACTATTTTTTTTAGATCATGGATTATATTCTCAAAACTGCAGGGCTGCTTCTCCCTAGGGAGTGTCTCACAGTAATGGAATACAAGTGGCACTATGATCCACTTGTATTTGAGCCACCCAAGACTCATCTTTCTTCTGGACTTTTCTATAATGATCCAACATCTTCCTCTCCTTCTTCAAATGTGGTGAAGGGGCTCTTTGGATTAGGGAGTCTGGCAACAGATATGGTTGATGACATAATCATGTCCTTTTAACGTGGGTGCATTAGGAAATGATTTTAAGTTGTCTAAGCTAGTTTGTACTTGGCCCCTGCCTGTTTTTCTACTTATGTATCCAACTATATCCTTAGATACATTTGTGCTTGCCCATTCCATGGCCCCTATTTACAAATATGGTGGCAATTACCAATAGTTTCTAAATGTTGCAGGTTTTCTTTCTTAGCAAAAGGCTTGATGAAATTACTACTAACCAATTTAAGCAGCTCAAAATGTTCTTCATAGCTCTGTCTGAAACAGGTAATTGCAATAAACTCATGAAATAAAGTTTCACAGCACATGAATAATGGTTACAGATAAAAGGAAAGCAAAAAATAAATGATACCATGGCAAAATTAGACATGTGCAATTTTTTTCGGTCCAAATCTAAATTCGGACACATTTTTGGTTATTCTGAGATCATATTCTTCTGAATAACAATACTAACACATTTCATTAAAATGTGTTTTGTTTATTTGTTTTCTAACAAATATCACATTTTCAGAACAATTCAAAATGGTAAAAAATTTATCGAGTGATCCAAATTCTGTGAGAAAAATAGTTGGTTGTTAAGGAGAGGGCCTGGAAGCCGACCGCAGCATCCTTAACAGCTGTCAGTGGTTTCCCCACTAAAAAAACTGAATTACAATCAATGAAAAATGAGGGGGAAAAAATGGCGTGGGGTCCCCCCATCCATACCAGGCCCTTCAGGTCTGGTATGGATGTTAATCACTTCAGCCCTGGAAGGTTTTCCCCCCTGTGTGTATTAGTAGGTTTGTGTGAAAGTTATAGCTTCTACTAACTATGGTATCTATATTGGAATTTACGCAGCTTTTACTTTCTGATTGGCACATTTCTTGAGGTGCTAAAATGCCGGTACAGTACAAAAAAACCCCTAAATGACCCCTTTTTGGAAAGTAGACACCCCAAGGAATTTTCTGAGAGGCATGTTGAGTCCATGGAAAATGTTATTTTCTGCCACAAATGTTTGGAAAATTATTTTTTTTTTTTTACACAACGTTGTCGCTTAAATGTTATATTGCTTCCACATGCCATGGAAATATGAGGACTAACATCCCAACACACATTCTGCTACTTCTGATACCACATGTGAGAGACATTTTGGCAGCCTAGCCACATTTTCCAAAAACTTGTGGCAACAAATGAGATCTGCAAAATACTCACCATGCCCCTTAGCAAATACTTTGGAATGTCTACTTTTCAAAAAGGGGTCATTTAGGGGGGTTCTTCTACTATCCTGTAATTTCATGGACAACATTAGAAGCTTATGCCACACATCAACCACTCTTCTAA